CCTTTCACTGTCCCTGTGCCTCTGGCCTGTACCCCAGTTCTGTATGCATAAATAAATAAATCTTTAAAAAAGAAAGTATTACTTTGAAATTTTGGGGAAAAGTGGCTCTTTGTAGGCCTCCCTGGTGGCATAAAGGGTTAAGTCTTAGTACTTTGAAGCTATGGACAGTCACTACAGCAGGAGTTTGATCCTCTGCTTATGCCCCATCCAGGGAGCTGACCCACGTGGCGCAGCAGACCTCTCCTATCTTGCCTGCTGCTCCCCTCAGCAGTGTATTTCAGTGTAATCTGCCTGTTCTGCTCCCCACTCTCTGGTGAATCCTCTCACCTGTCTTCCCCCAACCTCTGGCTTATACCCCAGCTCTTGTATGCATAAATAAAATAAATCTTTTAAAAGAAAAAAGTGCCTTTTGTTTGGGCTTGGTGTGGAAATCTGCTTGGCTTCTTTGGCAGCAGGAGCACTGATCTGATCTGTCTTGCCCCTTTATATTTTTTATTTATCTTTAAATATTTTATTTATTTTTGTGTAGAAGAACTGGGGTGTAGGCCAGTGGTGCTGGGGCTGAGAGGATTCATCAGACAGTGGGAAGCAGAACAGGCAGACCCACTGAATTGTAATACAGGGCTAAGGAGAGCCCCGAGACAGGAGAGGTCTGATGTGCCGTGTGGGTCAGCTCCCTGGCTGGGGATCAAGCTCAGGCCATATATTGGCAGTGTTGAGACTAAACACCTAGGCCACCAGGGAGCCTCTGACCCTTTTTTAGGAAACCATTAAGGCGGGGCTCAGCCCGAGGGCCCAGGGACAACTTTCTCTCTGATGTAGCCTGGTCATTTTTATCTAAGAGATATGTTGTCTCTTAGTCCTAATTCTGGGGTTCATTAAACTGGTTCTTTCCAGTTCTAGCAGCTGTTAGGCTCCTGCCCTTGAGCCTCTTTGCCCATCTCCAGCCTGGGTGTTGACTCACAGGGTATCAGGAACAAATAGGCGTTGTGCTCTTAGCACATTTCCATGTTAGCAGAAATGAGATGTTATCAATCAAATGCTGCTATGTCACGTGTTATCCCTGGAAATACTAACCCAGAATTTGAAGACAAAAATGAAGTTTTTCTGTTGCTTAATGGGATCTCCTGGACCAGAGGTGTTTGTTTTAAGATTTAGTTAACTTATACATACAAGAGATGGGGTGTAGACCAGAGGCACAGAGTTTATGTGTGAGAGGATTCACCTGAGACAGTGGGGAGCAGTGGGGAGACAGGAGAGGTCTGCTGCACCATGTTGGTCAGCTCTCTGGCCGGGGATCAAACTCAGGCTGGTGATAGCTTGATAGTTGAGACTTTAACCCTTGCACTGCCAGGGAGGCCCATAGACCAGATGTTTTGTTTTTAAAAAAGACTTATTTGTTTATGCATACAAGAACTGAGGTACAGGCCAGAGGTTTGGGCGGTGACAGGACTCAGCAGACAGGGTAGAGAGCAGAATGTGCAGGTGAACTGAAACACTGCTAAAGGGAGCGGCAGGCGAGACAGGAGAGATCTGCTGTGCCATGTGGGTCACTCCCTGGCTGGGGATCAAACTCTGTGCTGCAGTGGCTGTCAATGGCTTGATAGTGCTCTCTCTAACTCCTGTGCCACCAGGGAGGCTCCTATGGACCAGAGGTTTTTAACTTGGGGCCTGTATCTGATTCGCAGGGAGTCTGAAAAGCCTGGGATATTTTATAAGGTTGGGACATCTGTTCAGTGTAAACTTATTGGGAGAGGGCTGCAGTCTTTGAGACATTCTTAGAGGGTCTTTGCACCCACAGAGACCTAAGGGTCAGTGAAAGCTGATGCTCAGTGGGCGAGAGGTCATCAAGGTCATTTCTGCTCCTCGAGGAGCCTGGCCACAGTCAGCCTTCGGACTGTTGGGGTGAAGCAGGAGATGGCGTGGTCAGTGGCCCTCTTGGAAGAGCTATAAGAGAAGCCATCATGAAGGTCAGTCCCCAATCTGTCTTAGAGCCTTGGAATTTTGTTTGTTTGTAGCCTATTCCTTTCCCAATAACTATATTAGAAGTCAGGTCAAAGCTTACTGGCTATCTTAGGCAGGAACATCCTTCCAGCCTGGCCTGGACCCCTCTCCTGTATTCTATGGGGAGGGGAGGGGCCCTCTTCACCCTAGTTTTATTTTTACCCCCTAGACTGAGAAATGTTGCCTCCCAACCATAAGTTGAAAGCTTTGTTTAAAATTTGGAATCAGAACCTATGAATGCTATACTGGCCCATACTGTGTGCTGGGGGAGGGGAGAGAGGAGCGTGGCAAGAACCACACTGCACCCTCACAGCCCACAATCACAGTGCACAGGCAGAGAAATGGCCTTGAGTCTGGGAAGGCATCCCCATATCCGTGGCAGCTGAACAGTGACTTCAAGGATGAAAGGGACTGAAGTACTGAGCAGACAGATGGAGATGGAGGGTATCCCAGCCATGAGACTTACCTGTACAGAAAACACAGCCCTCAGTGAGTCTGCTGTGCTTGCATGTGGAGCTGGATGGGGCAGGGAGAAAGGCAGGGGCAGGGACGGTCACTCGCAGAGGGGGTTTGGCCTTTACCTCAAAGGCAAGGTCATTATGGGGGGAGGGATATAGCCTGCTTTTAATGGTTTAGAGCTCAGAGATACAAAGTTAGCTGAAAGAAAGCACTGGCCTCTGTCAGAGAACCCATTGTCAGCACGGGTAAACTGGTCAAACTTGGCAAGACTCCCTACCCTACATCACTGAGCCACAATCTTCCCACTTGCAGGTGGGCTGACTGAGGGATCAGACAGGATTCAAATGAGGTTGGTGTTGGCTTAAGGAACCCCATTTAGTAAAGGCTTCAAACTTGAGTGTTTTTGAAGGGTCCTCATAGTTTCTGGGAACGTTTAAGCCCTCCTGCTTCTCAGGAGAGCTAGCTGCCATGCCCTGTTCCTCCAGGTCAGAGGACCCTTCTGTCCCTTTGTCCCTCTGCACTCTTCACTCCACCAGTACCTCTGTCAAGTAGTTTTGCTTTAGATAATTATTACACCATGAGAACTGTATTGAATAAAGGAGAAGACACCCCACCTCACCTCACCACTTCACTCATGACATCACTTTTCTTGCCTCTGGGTCAACTTCCCTCTTAGTTTCCCTCATCCTCCATCTCTAGCTTCCCAGTTTCTTGCCCCTTATCTCTTTTTGTGCCCCCAGATCTTTGCTGATTCATTTTCTTCTAGTTAGCATTCTTTTTATCCAGAGAAATGACCCACCTCCCTTCCTTCAACTTCCCCCTTCCCCAGAGTTCCCAGGAGCTACACGAAGCATGTTGGGAGTATGCTGTCACAGGGCTGGCCTAGTGAGTGACCAAAGCATAAAGAAACTAAAGGAGCAGACAGGCGAGACAGACAGGCCTGTGCACTGTCTCCCGTAGTCCACGTCAGTGGTGGGTACAGTCACAGTCTGAGCTCCTGGAAGTGGGACCTTGGCTGAGCTGCTGAGACGAACCGTCGCCCTTCCCACTTGTTGATTTGTTTCTTGGCAGACTGAACTGGGACACACCTTGTGTTCCTGTGTAGCAGGCGTGACCAGGTCCAGGCTCTCTCCTCTGCTTGTTTTAGACTTTCCTGGACATTTCTTAGTCATCTTAGCACTGAGTGGCTATTTTTAGTGTCACCACCTCCTAGAAGACCTAAAATAAAGCTGGCTAAGCTTCCTGACCCTTCACTGGCTGGCGTGTTGGTCACAGGCTGGCAGATTGGCTGAACTAAGATAAGCCACTGTCCCCTGCACTGTCCCTCTCGGTTGGCTCCTCTGGCCTTGAGTGAGGTCACAGACTAGAGCAAGCAAGCACTTACATGTCAGGCTGAGGGCTTCATCAGATTCTCTCCGGGAGGCTTCACCGCCACTGGCAGCACCAGAGTACTGCCTCCACTTAGGAAGCAGAGCCCTAAGAAGGCCAGCGACTTGCATCAGATCCCACCACTGCTAATGGTTGTCTGCCAGGTCTCACAACTCCCTCACTGTGTAGATTCTGGGTCCTGTTATCAGGAGAATAGGGTGGGCTCCTCTACAGGCTGAGGTAACTACAGAACAACACCTGTGTTTGGGGTTATGGGACCTTGCAGTGAGAAGTGGGCTTCCCTACTTGGAAAACCTAACAAAGCCAGGGTAACTATCTCATGTGGGATTTGGGCTTCCCATCTAGCAATCTTGGGCAGTGATCTCTGTGGCTGCGATGGAGGGTGGGGGAGAGGTGTTTTCTAACAGCTTCCATTCTTCTCCTCATACCTCTCAGCTATTACGCAGTGATCCTCTGAACTCACGCCCCCAGGTCTGAAGTGGGTAAGGTTGCCCCAAGAAGACATGCCCTGGAAATGGCCAAGGCAGGTCTAAAATATATTGGCCTCTAAAATATATTGTCATCTTAAAATTACAAGGGTGTCACTTGCTAATATTTTTGCAAATGAGACCTCAGGAGCCATCTTACCCCCTTTTACTGGGTCATCCTTCACCTGCCAGGGAAACCATTTGGCAGTGTTGAGGGAGTGAGCGCCAAGTCCCTGCAGGACAGGGAGGGGGCCTGAGGGCTGCAGTAGAAAACACTTCATACACAACATCAGTAGTTCTTGGCCTGCCAAGTCGGAGGAAGAGCAGCAGCTCTGACCTTGCTGGTTGTTGAAAGGACTGGCTGAAGATATGGAGAGAATGCTTAGCCGCTCCTTAGAAACCTATCCTCTCACTGGGCATTGAAGGACTTTCTGTGAGTGTCTTGACTCTACCTTCAGCATCCAAAAGTGATCCATGATACTGGTCCACCTCTGGACTCCCTGAACAGGTCTGTATTGGGAGAGAACTACTTTGAGTTCTGAGGCACCTCTCGTGTTCCTCAGGAAAACAGACCTCAGCAAAGGACAACCCTGCTTGACGAGGTCAGGGCAAAGAGACGGTCAATGAAGAAACAGCTTCTGTAGTACCAACATTTCTCTCCCTGTCTTGCTGGTCTTACAGGTCTCAACGAGGCCGAGTGACTCTCCAGAATGGGAGACAAGCCAATTTGGGAACAGATTGGATCCAGCTTCATTCAGCATTACTACCAGTTATTCGATAATGACAGAACTCAGCTAGGCGCAATTTACGTAAGTTGCCATGGCTGGGGCTGGAGCGGGGCCCCAGGCATGAATCAAGATGTTGGACCAGAGTGTCCAGTTCGCAGGTTCTGGTAGCCCACACTGAATTTGGGTGTGTGTACACTTACGTCTGAGCAGCTATGAGACAGGAATTGAGCCAATATATTGGATCTGTATATTCCCTTAGCAACGAGGAGTAGGGATCCTGGTGCTCTAGCAGGGTATTCTGGCCTGGTCATTCCATGATTGTGGCAGTACTTCTGTCCACACTGAGCAGCTGCAGGCAGAGGCTGGGGCTTAGGGTGCCCTCTGCAGGCAACAGCTGTGGGCGTCATCACTGCAAGTCTGATGGAGGCCCATGTCCAGCATCATTTGTGGGGAGGCATCTCAAAACCAGTAAACGCTCATGGAAAACAAGTGTTAGCCTGGAGAAGGTGGTGTGTCCTTTGAGAAACTCTTCTGTACAGACAGTGTTTGCATCTTTTTATGGTGTTCATATAAAAAAAGCTACTTATATATGACTGTGCCCCAGACTGTCACAGAAATGTGATTGGTCCAGCCGCACCTAGCTGGGACTGCCCAGGACAAGAATGACAGGAGTCATCCAGTGTAGCCTCAGAGCCTGACTGGACTGTAGGCAAAAGTTGGGGCTCATTCAGAAATTTTGGATAAAAGCGGGGATCTTACCAGTGGAAAGCCAAGCCCAGTACTGGTACTTCATTGTTACCAGCATAGCGAGTTTTTTGTTTTTGTTTTTGTTTTTTAATTGAACTGATCTGATTCTGAGAGCCTGGCACTTCTGCTTTATAGCTTCTTAACATCAATTAAAGCAGACCTGAGTCAGAAGAGAGTTAGCAGAATCCTAAAAGAACACCTTACATGTATTTCATTTCATGTAATCCTTAATACACATCCCTTTTCAAGATCAGGAGTCTGAGACTCAGAAAGATATGTAACTTAACTAATGTTATAGCTGGTAAGTAGCAGGGCACTTTTGAATTCTGCTTCTGAAGGCACAGTAGGGGAGATCTGGGGAGAAGGACAGAGAGTTAGTGAGTTTTGTGTTAATAATAAGGAAGGTCCCAGACTAGGCCTTGGGAGGCCTTGTCAACCCCTTGGTGATAAATACAGAATTTTTCTAGTTCATTTCTTTTTTTTTTAAGATTTGTTCATTTATGCATACAGAACTGGGGTACAGGCCAGAGGTACAGGGGCAGTGAGAGGATTCACCAGAGACATAGTGGGGAGTAGATCAGTCAGATTGATGAAGTACAGCAGGCAAGACAAGAGAGGTCTGCTGCGTCACATGGGTCACTTCCCTGGCCATGGATAAAACTTGTGCTGCAGTGGCTGCGGAGAGCTTCATGGTGCTGTGCTTTAACCTGTTGCACCAACAGGGAGGGCCCTCATTTCTTTTTTTTTTTTTAAGATTTATTTATTTAGGCACACAAGAGCTGGGGTGTAGGCTACAGGCATGGGAGGGGGTAAGTGGATTCACCAGAGACAGAGTGGGGAGCAGAACATGTGGATTAAGTGAAGTACACTGCTGAGGGGAGCTGTGGATGAGACAGGAAAGGTCCCCTGCACCATGTGGGTCAGCTCTTTGGCTGGGGATGCTACATTGGCTGCCAGCAGCTTCACTGTACTAAGCCTTAACCCCTTCTGCCATCAGGGAGGCCCCTGTTTTTAGTTCATTTCTGACACTTTCTTTTGAACTCATGCTGACTGACCGTGCATTAGGATAGCTCTGAGCTGAGTCTAAAAACTGGAAAATGAACTTCTTGGTAAGTTTACATATTGTTAGATAGTCTTTCAGAGCCTGGGCTTTGGGATGATAGGTAAAGACATTGTAAATAGTTAATCTTTGAACGCTACCCTTCCTGCTTTATGGACAGGGAAATTGAGACCTGGATTCAATTCCCCAAGGAAGACCTTTTTCAGGGTTTTTTCAAGTCCTCACAGATAATCTTTAAACTGTGAGACCTTAACCCTGTGTTTCCTGGTTTTCAGATTGACGCATCATGCCTTACGTGGGAAGGACAGCAATTCCAGGGGAAAGCTGCCATTGTGGAGAAGTTATCTGTAAGTAAGAGCCAGAGCGGGCTGTCGGCGGCTCCTTTCCTGCCCCACTGGCCATGGCCAATTCTCACTTTTCATTTTGCAGAGCCTTCCGTTCCAGAAAATCCAGCACAGCATCACGGCACAGGACCATCAACCCACGCCAGATAGTTGCATCATCAGCATGGTTGTGGGCCAGCTCAAGGTAATGTTGCTTCTAGGGAGGAGAACCCTGTTACCCTGCCTTCCTGTGATGTGACTTAATGATGTATCAAGGGAAAGCTAGACAAAGTGACTGTGTAATTCAATACAGTAGGCACTAGCTCTCTGTGATTCTTAAAATACATTAATTAAAATGAAATACAATTAAATGTAGTTCTTTTGGTTGCCCTAGTTATATTTCTAGAGCTCATAGTCATTATTGCACAGTGCAGACATAGAGCTTTTATTTTATTGCAGAAAGCTCTGATCTAGAAGCTTTTGGAAAAGGGAAGGGATGTAGGAGCAGAATGGGACTGTGTGCCAGCCTTAGCCCTGGACTTAGCACTGCCTTCCCTGTAGGTGGGCTCTCTATAGGCAGCCTCCCTTGGATGACAAAGGGGTGCCATATAGCATGCCCCATCCAGAGTGCAAACTGCCTCTCCTCAAGCCAACTCGCGCTCCAAACTCCTGCTTCTCTTTGTATTTCCCTTTCTTTCTCAATCCTTCTCATCCCTAAAGCCTTCCAGGTATATCTTAGCCCACTCCTACCTCCCCTGCCTCTCTCCCCTCCCGACTCCCTGAACTTTCCCAAGAGCTCTTCAGCCAGATTCTTAATTTCCAAAGCAGGACAAATTGCCCCTTGACCAGATTTCAACCTCTTGGGCCTTTGTCATGGCAGACTGGGCAGGTCTCAGAATAACAAACCCACGCATTTGTAGGTTAGCTGTGGCAGGGCTTCTTGAGTCTAATTATGGACAGAAAGACCCAAAGGAACCTGTTTTCTGGCTAGGACTTCCCTGTCAGTTTCTTCTGCCTACCCAGGATGCCCTGCCCAGAGCCTGTGCTCAAATAGATCCTTGGGAATGAGAAAGTCTCCTCAGGAAATTCAGTGCCCACCTTTCCAGACAGGGGTCATTAAGCAGTCCCCCTTCCTACCTGGTTTCAGGTTCTTCCTGAAAGAAGTTGGTGTGTCTTTCCAACTCGGAGCCCCCAAAAGACGATTGCCTCCATGTTGATGATAATTCCCAGAAAAACCGATGATGTTAAAGACAGTGCTGATTAGCTGGGCTCCTACCTCAACTAGGCTTCATCCTGGTCTTCTTCAGTTTGGTTGGAGGTTTCTTGCCTTTCTTTTTTCATTATAAATGTTATTTATTACATGACAGGAAAAAGGGCACGTGCTGGTGAGGCTTGCTTTTTATCCCCCCTGCCTTCCCCTGTGAAGCTATGGTCACAGTATAAACTGTTTTTAAGATTTATTTATTTATGCATACAAGAACTGGAGTGCAGGCCAGAGGTGTGGGGAGGGGGTGGATTCACCAGACAGCAGGGAAGAGATCAGGCAGGTCTACTGAAGTACACTGCTGAGGGGAACAGTGGGAGAGACAGGAGAGGGCTCTTGCGCCATGTGGGTCAGCTCCCTGGCCAGGGATCAAACTTGTACTTCACTGGCTGCGGACTGCTTTAGAGTGCTGAGATTTCACCCCTTGTGCCACTAGGGAGGCCCTAAACTTATTTTTGAGCCTTTTCTCACACACTTGACCAGAGTCAGTATTAGCAGTAGCTTCTCCTGTTTGAATTGAGATTGTTTCATTTTTAGCTACTGTAAGTTATGTAGTAAGTATTGCAGAACTCTTGATCTGTGCCCAGATACATGCTCTGAGAGACTGGCATAGTCTCTCTTCATTGCTAGAACCAAGTGATTTGTTCTGCAGTTTAAGTGCGCCACCGCTAGGTCCCTGTGTGCCAAGAACAATGTTTTATACATTCTGTCAGTTCACACCCCGTGGCTATACTGGGATTTGAATCCTGAACAATAGGCCCTGATCCTAAAGTCAGCGTTCTTTGCCCTGTTCCCCTACTGTTCAGCTCTCTTCCTTCCTATTCCTTGGCCCCTTTACTGAATCATTTTGTCTCTCCTCACAGGCGGATGAAGACCCCATCATGGGGTTCCACCAGATGTTCCTATTAAAGAACATCAACGATGCCTGGGTTTGCACCAATGACATGTTCAGGCTTGCCCTGCACAACTTCGGCTGACCTCCTCCCTGCCAGGCACTCACGCTGTTTCCTCCTCCCTCCAATTCCTGATACTATTCACACTCCTCCAGATGCTCCAAATATCATACACAAATGAGCAAGCCGTGGTGGGATTGGGCGCATGTGCTGCTGCCCCCAAGGTGTTGTGCATGATGTTTGGACGCTAGACTAGTTGCATCTGACAGGAGTAGTTTGTGTTGTACCAGCGCATGCCTTGGAAAGACTTAAGTAATGCAAAAGGTTGTCTCTCTCTTTTTTTTTAATCTACTGACAAGTTGCTCTAGTAACCCAAAGAAGTGAAGGAGAAAGCAGCTGCCTCAACGCCCAGATATTGATTTGTTCAGATGTTTCAATGCCTCATGATACAATAAAACCACAAAAATTTTCTTAACAGTTTAAATTGTTTTAATTAGTTTAATAGTTGGCTGGGCATCAATAACTACCCTGCCCCATTGGCTCTCTCATGCCTCACCCTTCCCACCTCAGCAATACCTGTTGTAGGGAGAAAACTACTGAAGCAGCACTTCCAGGTAGCTTCTCTCCTGAAGCCCTGTAGGGCATAATGTCCTCTTTCCAGCCCACCTGCTCTTGGGAAATTAAGCTGCAGAGAGGGAGAGCTCAGGTCTGGCCTGAAGCTTCCCTTGCACTGAAGCTTCTGCAGTCAGTTCTGAGACTCCTGTGCCTTCTGCACTTGGTAGGATCAGAGCTCTAGAAGCAGGAGCAGTGACTGAATCCCACTGAAGATGATGAGTCCTTGGCAAAAATGGTCCATCAAGTTAGCCCCTCTGGACTGAGGACTCAGTAAAAGGAAGGATAAGCAGAGGTTTGAGGGAGAGGGACCTACTATCCCCAGAAGGGTCAAGGTCATTCAGGGTGTCCTACAGACGACCCCAAGCCAAGCAGTGGGTAGTTCAGATCTTGTGCTACCTGCTTTGGATTATCCAAGCATTGCCTGAAGGCAAATGCCCAAAACCGCCTCAGTGCCCACAACCAGGCTATACTACTGGGTTGGAGTCTATATAGATTCAGAATTACAAAAGAAGATAGTCTGAATCTGAAGTGTTTGTGTTTGAGTTCTCACCTCTCAGATCTTTGCAGGGTATATCTAGGTCTCTTCCTTGTTTCTTGCCTCACCACACACATACTTTGACACTGTCGCCAAACCCAGGAAGTCTTAACTGTTGGGGTAGATTCTGTTCCTCAGGTTTTTGGGACAGAAGCCTTGCCCAATGCAAACCTGATCCTTCAGCCCTGAGACTTGGTGGTAATATAGCAACCTAGGGTTCTGCACACTAGAACCCGAAAATCCAGGACTTGGGCATCATGAGATCCTGTTAAGGGGATTAAGATTGATGAGGACGACACACTAAGCCTGATCTATAAGCAGACCACACACACACTCACACACACACACATCCTCACTACAACTGGAGTCCAAGAACTTCCTCAGACCCCCACAGGTTGCCTGACTACACTGGACACAGGACTGAATGTGCTGTTTGAGAGAACAGCATACTCAGGAGATTTCAGTGGGACTGATTTCTAGACTGGTGTATACTTTTGGGGGTGGGGTGGGGGAGAGGTAGGTGCCTGCTGCCTCTTAAACCACCCTGTATAAAATCTGCAATACAGCTTCTTCCATGTACCTGTGCCTGAAATGTCTGCAATAAAGAACTGTTTGTAAACTGTTTTCTATCTTCTTGTCTGACAGTGCCAGGTTGGGCAAAGGGATGTTGGGGAACATTAGTGAACAATGACTGATGACTGTGGTGGGATCATCTCTGCTACTGCAATTCCTGGGATGTGTTTATGGTTCCCCTCAGGCCTTAGGTTATGACATCCCATTTCCAAAAGTGAACAGACCTGTCGGTTCGGTGTGGAGAGGGGATGTGGTATGGGCCTGCGGAGGCATAAGACCTGAGGGTCTACAACCCGGGTGAACGAATTAACATGTCTACTCTGGGAGTGGTTTTGGACCGAATGGATATCCTGACGGCGTATAACGTTTTGGGCAAACCACTAGGAGCACTTTGATCTCAGTACTGATAAAACTCCCTTAAGAACCAGCTAACGCTGGGGCGGAGCCGGCCCGGGGGGAGAGATGATCCATCGGCCCCCAGCCCGGAACCTTTCTTCTCAGCCTCTTGCAGGTTCCGGGAGCCGAGGCTCCGCGGGCCGGAAGTGTAGGCGGTTGGTGGGGTTGCCGGGGCTCAGGGACACGGCGCGGGCGGCGGTTTGCGGGCCCGGTGGACCGAGTGTAGTGGCCGGCGTGCAGCTGTCCGTTTTTGGCGCGGCACTGTTCGTCTAGACCGTGTGCGGCGGTAGCGAAACGGACCCGGCGCCGAAGGGCGCCTGCAGCTGGGCCCATGGCCTCCTCCTGCGCGAGCATCGATATCGAGGACGCCACGCAGCACCTGCGGGACATCCTCAAGCTGGACCGGCCCGCGGGGGGTGAGCTGGGACAGCCTGGGTAGGAACTCGGTGAGCGGGTAGAAGGGCGTCGCGGGGCCCCGGCCGTCCGCGGGTTCCCCTGGAACGGCTCTTCATCCGCCTGGCTGCTGAGGGCAGACGAGGGTGGGAGAGGTATATCCCTGAGCATGTTCCCAGAAGGGCGAACGCCCCCGGGTGCGAACCCTCCTTTTCCTGATCCGGACCGTTCTGCCGCGTCCTTCAGGGTCTCGGCTGAAGGTGAGGCCTTTTATTTGACTCTGCGGGGTCCCCCTGGTGTACTAGCACTAAGGACTCTAGTGTTCCTGAGACTCACCCGCTTTCCCTACCCTTTTGCCATAATTAGAAGCCTAGTCTGAGTCTAGATCTAAACCCAGTACTGAAGATCTTAGGTATCCCTCCAACCCTTCCCTCCGGAATAGAGTCTCTGGGACAACTGTTATAAAAGATGACCAGCCCCAATTCCGTATCCTCCCAGGGATTAAGGCAAATCACAAACTGCAGGACCCTGATTGGTTTAGGGTACAAACTTATGCAAATCCTACTTTACTTCTTTTCACCTTAACTTTACTTGAGCTTTCAGTAATACCTCAAATCTCTACACTTCAAGGAGCTTCAGAACACAGAGAGCTAACAAGGTTTTAATATAATGCTATTGTCCTTGAAAGAGAAGAGGATTCCAGTACTTAGGGTCATGGAGTGAGAGCTGGAAAGTGCCTGAGAGCACATTTGAGAGAAGAGACAATGGTTAGGTTTAAAAAAAGAAAAGGAAAAGACTTAATTTATTTTATTTATGTGTGCAGGAGCTTGGGTGTAGCCCAGAGATGGGGGAGGGATGAAAAGGTTTACCAGAAACACAGTGGAGACTAGAATAGGCAGATCTACTGAAATACACTGCTGAGGAGAGCAGCAGGCTAGATAGGAGAGGCCTGCGTGCCATGTGGTTCAGCTCCCTGGCCAGGGATGGAACTCTGATAGCTAATAGTGCTAAGACTTAACCTTGTGCCACCAAGGAGGCCCCAGTGGTTAGGTATTATAATACAAACAAGGTCTTGGGTACCTGAAAATGCTTTCTGTCATGAGGAAATAGCCTTTTAAAGGTACCAAAAGTTTCCTGGCAGGTTCAGGGACCTGTGGAAAGTTGTAATGGTTGAAAATCTGGTGGTGTGGGTGTGCATTGGCTAGAGTTGCATATCAGTGTTGCCTCAGACCATGTTCTTAAAGCTGTTGGGAGTCCCAAGATGGCCACTTCTGGAAGCATGCCCTGGTGATCTGTAGTCTGAAACCACTAAACCCTTTTCTCCAAGCTAAGCCTGTTGCATGTACTTACTTTTTTTTTTTTTTAATATTTATTTGCTTATGCATAGAAGAACTGGGATGTAGGGCAGAGGGGGGATGAGAGGATTCACCAGAGTCAGAATGGGGAGCAGAACAGGCAGATATACTGAAATACGCTGTCAAGGGGACCAGTGAGTGAGACAGGAGAGGTGTGCTGCTCCATATGTGTGTTAGCTCCCTGGCTGGGGATTGAACTCAGGCTGTAGTAGTGGTAGCACTGAGACCTAACTCCTCTGCCTCCAGGCAGACTCAAGTTTGTACTTTCTTCATAATGGTTTTGCTTTTGACCTCTTCAGCTATTATTGTGCAGACTAGACTCTGCAAAGGTTTGGTAGGGCCCAACAAGGCCCATCTTTTGTATTTGTTATGGCTTCCTGGTAACCTCCCTGGGAAGAACAGTAGTCAACTCACCCCTGAGAAGCTATGGTGGCTCTCATATAAGTGAAGAAGCCTTGAAGCTTTTCTTAAAACTCCTTGTATATTGGTGGACACTTGAGCCACCTGTTTGCCAAGCATCCTTTCAACAGTCAGAACCCAGACTGTGATTAGAAGCCTGCCTGTATTCTTGAATGTGGAACCCTAGACCCCTTGCCAGCTGGGAGATTTGGACTTTGTCTGAGCCTATGAAGGTCCTGGAACCTCTGTCCGTGGCAATCAGCGGAAATTCTGTCCTCACTCAACACTCAATAATTCTCACCACTTTTTCCAGCTCCTTCATTTCCATTCTTGCTCAAGTTGACTTAATCTGAGCCATTTCTGTGTGGGGCAGGCTCCTTCCTTTTACGCCTACATTATCAGTGTCCTTTCAAGCCTTAGGAAATCATTTCTTTTCCAGATCCTGCTGCTGTCCTAGGCCCTGATGTCTCTTACCTAGTTTCTCAATTATCCTGCATGCTGCTTTAGAACAATCAACCTGAGGCCTCCCTGGTGGTGCTGGGGGTTAAAGTGCAGCGCTATGAAGCTATCTGCAGCCACTGTGACACTGATTCCATCATCAGCCAGGGAGGTGTCCCACATGGCACAGCAGACCTCTCCTGTCTTGCCCGCTGCTCCCCTCAGCAGTGTATGTCGGTAAATCAAGGTGTTCTGCTTCCCACTCTTATCTTTGGTGAATCCTGTCCCCCCCTCCACCCTCCACCTCTGGCCTTGTGTGCCAGTTCTTGTATGTGTAAGTGAATAAATCTTTTAAAATATCACCAGAATACTCAACCCCTGGGTTGAGCTGACCATGACTATCTTTTCTTTTAAAACTTCTGTGAGACTCATTGCCAGAAGAATCTAAGCACCCCCACCTCATACCTGAGACCTCTGCAGCCTTGCGCCTCTTTTGTCCTTCTCATGTTCATGTGTGCTGTCTTCACTGGCTCTGATGCCGCCTCCTTTATGAAGTCTGTCTTGACCCTTCCCATGCCCTGTCTCAAGTAAATAGAGCCCACTATGCGGACTTAAGCTTTTCCCCAGGTAGAAGAGCCTTGTGCTCATCCTTGGTTTGACATACAGTGGGTCACCGTCACTGTTTATGAAACAGGAGGCAAACAAGGGGCCCTCTACCCCACAGACTTGCCTCACTCAGCTGAGCGTTCCTAGCTCTTCATGGCACTTGAATGAAGCTCTGCTAGAGGAGAGGCCAGTGGACAGGTGGGATAATCTCCTTGGGTGTCTCTTTCTGTACCCAGGCCCCAGCGCAGAGAGTCAGCGGCCATCTAACACCTACAATGGGGACCTCAATGGGCTCCTGGTCCCAGACCCTCTATGCTCAGGTGATGGTACCTCAACGAACAAGCCTGGTCTTCGGGCCATGCCACCTATTAACCTGCAGGAGAAGCAGGTCATGTGAGTGCCTGAGGGGGTAACAGTGGTGGTGATGAACTCTTTATGGTGTTGGCTAGCTGAAGACATGAGTTGGGGAGAGAATGGGGTTAGAAACCTAAGATGAGGGGCAAGGGTTTGGCCTGGATCTGAGTTTTGGGCACCTAGTTGAGCATAGAAATAGATTCCTTTCCAAAGAGGGGTGGTAAGGGGAGTTGTGAGTCTGGGGACCTCCAGGCCAAGCAAAAACTTGGCGTCAAGGGCTTAACACCTTCACCAGGGTAGTGGTATGCTCTCCCTTTCTCAATCCTCCCCATTGAGACTTTGGGTGAACAAGAGTCAAGCTTGTGCACCCCCTGCCCAGCTGCCTCTCAGGAGATGACAGTTCCACCTGCATTGGAATTTTGGCCAAGGAGGTGGAGATTGTGGCCAGCAGTGACTCTAGCATATCAAGCAAGGCACGGGGAAGCAATAAGGTAGGCACCAGGATGTTGTGGCATATCTGTGTGTGGGCTGGGGGATAAACTCAGCTTCTTTCCAGTTCCTATGGGAATCACCTTGTCCCAGTTTGAGGAAGTCAGGGTTGGCTGTCAAGTTTCTGTGGGAATCTGGGCTCAGATGTGACTTCTGCTATCCCAGGGGATGCTGCATTCTAGGAAAGCTGCCCAGCCCTCAGCTTCTACAATCTTCCTTACCTTTGGTTCTCAGGTGAAAATACAGCCTGTTGCCAAGTATGACTGGGAGCAGAAATACTACTATGGCAATCTGATTGCTGTGTCCAACTCCTTCTTGGCTTATGCTATTCGGGGTAAGGAGGAGCAATGGGAAAGAGAAGTTCTGCTAGAAACCCCAGACATGTAGATCCACTGTCAGGGAAATCAGCCTACTCAGGCCTTGGGAGTATAACATAAAACTTGTCTATGCTACCCTCACCTTTGCTGAGTGGGAAAATAGAACTTAAAACTCAGGATGGCAGTGAGGCGGGCATGGGCTTCTCTGCTACTGCCTGGGCCTGGTTCTCCCTGGTGACCTTCCACTCTCATGATTCCAGCCGCTAACAATGGCTCAGCGATGGTGCGGGTGATCAGTGTCAGCACTTCAGAGCGGACTCTGCTCAAGGGCTTCACAGGCAGCGTGGCTGATCTGGCCTTCGCACACCTCAACTCTCCACAGCTGGCCTGCCTAGATGAGGCAGGCAACCTGTTCGTGTGGCGTTTGGCTCTGGTTAATGGCAAAATTCAGTATCCTTTCTCTAGGGTTGGAGGGGGACTGAAGAGAGGTGGGCGGAGCTGGACTGCCAGACACATCTCATCATCCACCTGTCTATAGACCTTAACACAGTGCTCAGAGAAGAGATCTTGGTCCATATCCGGCAGCCAGAAGGCACTCCGCTGAACCATTTTCGCAGGATTATTTGGTGTCCCTTCATCCCTGAGGAGAGTGAGGACTGCTGTGAGGAGAGCAGCCCGACGGTGGCCCTTTTGCATGAAGATCGGGTGAGGGAGACGTGTCAGAAAAGAGCAGAGGACAGGGTAGCCATGGTGTGAGCACAGGCTAAACACAGACCCACCTGTACCCTCTAGGCTGAGGTGTGGGACCTGGACATGCTCCGCTCCAGCTACAGCACCTGGCCTGTGGATGTCAGCCAGATCAAACAGGGCTTTATTGTTGTGAAGGGCCACAGTACGGTAAGCCTGTGACTTCCCCTGGCCTCTTGCTGTGTCTCTCATCTCTTCTCCATTCCCACAGCTGCCCAAGCAGCTTGCTGGCACTCTGCCCATGGGATTCTGGACACAAAGTGACCCTTACCTGTTGCGCTCGTCCCTGTTGCGCTCGTCCCTACTGGGCTGTACCCGTGGGTCTGGTCTTCTCTCTGGCCCCTCATTCATCTGTCTTTCACACTGCCACTTTATCTGCTGTGGGTCCACCCCACTCACTAGCATTCTCATTTGGGAAGGTCTTGCTTCCACCTCTAATCAGGCGGCAAAGCAAGGCTCTTTGGGTTCTTCCCAGTGCCTAAGTGAAGGGGCCCTCTCCCCTGATGGGACTGTCCTGGCTACCGCAAGCCATGATGGCTTTGTCAAGTTCTGGCAGATCTACATTGAGGGGCAGGATGAGCCAAGGTAAGACTGGGCCTGAGGGATTAGAACCCTGCAGGTAGGGGAGCAGATCACTCATTTAGGCCCCTCATCTGCCTGGCTGCAGGTGTCTGCATGAGTGGAAGCCTCATGACGGGCGGCCTCTCTCCTGCCTCCTATTCTGTGACAACCACAAGAAACAGGACCCTGAGTGAGTGAGTGGGCAGGAAAGTAGGCGGTAGACTGAGGGCCCAGAAGGGCCAATCCAGCTGCTCAGTGCCTGGTTGCTTTGCAGGGTCCCTTTTTGGAGATTCCTCATTACTGGCGCTGACCAGAATCGGGAGCTAAAAATGTGGTGCACCGTATCCTGGACCTGCCTGCAGACCATTCGGTAGAGGGGCCGAGGGGCTCAGCAGGGCACCGGGTTGGCAGTCAGAGTACTTGCTGCCCTCTCTCATTTTTCTTCCTGGCAACTCCCAGCTTCTCCCCAGATATATTCAGCTCAGTGAGTGTGCCCCCCAGCCTCAAGGTTTGCCTGGACCTCTCAGCAGAATACCTGATTCTCAGCGATGTTCAACGGAAGGTAGCTGCATTGGGGCACGCGGAGCAAAGCTGGTGTCTTTGGGAAGGGAAGGGTTTTGTGATACACCGCCGACCTCATGTCTCTGAAATCAGCTGTGTTCGGCCTGTGCAGGTTCTCTACGTGATGGAGCTACTGCAGAATCAGGAGGAGGGCCGTGCCTGCTTCAGCTCCATCTCCGAGTTCCTGCTCACTCACCCCGTGCTGAGCTTTGGTATTCAGGTTGTAAGTCGCTGCCGGTTGCGGCACACTGAGGTGTTGCCTGCTGAGGAGGAGAATGACAGCCTAGGGGCTGGTGAGCTGCTCTGGTCTGGGGTGTGTATGGGAGTGTAGGGGAAGGCCAAGGCCAGAGAGATGGGGGCTCAGTCATCCACACTGTTCTTGCAGATGGAACCCACGGGGCCAGTACCATGGAGTCTGCAGCTGGTGTGCTCATCAAGCTCTTCTGTGTACACACCAAGTGAGTATGTCAGAGCCCTGTCCCTCCTCACTGAACTAACTCTGTTCTCCCCCCCTCCCCCCTTTTTTTCTTTAAAGATTTATTTACTTATGTATACAAGAACTGGAGTGTGGGCTGGAGGTACAGGGGCTGAGAGGATTCACCAGAGACAGAGTGAGGAACAGAACAGGCAGATTACACTGAAATACACTGCTGAGGGAGCAGTGGGCGGGTCAGGAGAGGTCTGCTGCGTCATGTGGGTCAGCTCCCTGGCTGGTGATTGAACTCAGGCCATAGTGGCCGATGATAGCTTAATAGCACTTTAATCCCTGCACATCAGAGAGGAACTCTAGCTTCTTCGAGCACTTCCATCCTTTCCTTTTTCTCCCTGCAGGGCACTGCAAGATGTGCAAATCCGCTTCCAGCCACAACTCAACCCTGATGTGGTAGCCCCACTCCCTCCCCACACTGCCCACGAGGACTTTGGTGAGTGAGGTGTGATAGGGGACCAGGTTAGGCTGACTGGGTTCTGACTTCTGACTCAAGTGGCAGCTTTCCTCACAGCCTTTGGAGAGTCTCGGCCTGAACTGGGCTCTGAGAGCCTGGGGTCGGCTTCTCACGGCTCCCAGCCTGACCTCCGCCGCATTGTGGAGCTGCCTGCACCTGCCGACTTCCTTAGCCTGAGCAGTGAGACCAAGCCCAAGTTGATGACTCCTGACGCCTTCATGACACCTAGCGCCTCATTGCAGCAGGTGCTGGGGCAGGGGCGTGGGATTCAGGGCCGGGTGACCTGAGATGCCCCCCCATCAGCCACAGCCCTCATTCTCTGCTTCTTCCCAGATCGCCGCCTCCCCTAGTGGCAGCAGCAGCAGCAGCAGCAGCAGCAGCAGCAGCAGCAGCAGCAGCAGCTCTTCTCTTACGGCGGTTTCTGCCATGAGCAATACCTCGGGTGTGGATCCTTCCTTGTCCAGGTGAGACAAGGGTCACCATCAGGGGCTGGTACCAGCTGACACCTAAGTGCTGATACCTCAGCCTTCTTACCACAGGCCATCTGAGGAGTTGTCCTTGAACCCTAAGTTGCAACTTGATGGCAGTCTGTCAATGAGCAGCAGCAGCAGCCTACAGGCAAGCCCGCGCAGCCTTCTGCCTGGCCTGCTCTCCAGCCCTGCTGAGAAATTGGCTCCCAAGGGATCTGGGCAGGTGTGTGTGAATACAGGATAACAGGTAGATGGAGCGGGAAGGTTGTCCACAGAGTCCCTCCAGGGCACACTGTTTGCCGGTGTTGCTTTGCCTCAGGTGATCCCTGTTTCCACTGAAGTCATCTCAAGCTCCTGTGTTCCCTGCAGGGCAGCTCCTCTGGCTTTCCATCCGCACTTCTGCTCTCGAACCATGGCTGTTTTCACCTGCATCCCCATCCCTCTGTTCCATCTCACTACTACAAATACCAACACTTGGTTTCTGTGCTCCCCTCACCCCTACTTCACAACAGCTAAGTCTCCATCTTTGACCCACCTTAGGTATCTGCTGCTGCCTCTGCACTGTCCCTGGAGTTGCAGGAAGTGGAGTCTCTGGGGCTTCCTCAGGCTTCTCCCAGTCGCACCCGCTCCCCTGATGTGATTTCCTCTGCTTCCACCGCCCTCTCCCAGGACATCCCTGAGATTGCTTCTGAGGCCCTGTCCCGAGGCTTTGGCTCCTCTGCTTCTGAGGGTCTTGAGCCAGACAGTATGGCCTCAGCTGCCTCAGCGCTACACCTCCTGTCCCCAAGACCCCGTCCAGGGCCTGAGCTTGGCTTGGATGGAGGCTCTGGGGACGGGGATCGGCACAGTACCCCCTCCCTCCTAGAGGCGGCCTTGACTCAGGAGGCCACAGCCCCTGACAGTCAGGTCTGGCCTACAGCACCAGACATTACCCGTGAGACCTGCAGCAGTCTGGCGGAGAGGTGAGAAGCTTGTGAGGGGGAAAAGTGTGTTGATGGTAGGGACTTCAGCTAGTCACCCAATGCTGAGCTGGCCTGTTTGCCCAGCCCCAGGAATGGCCTGCAGGAGAAGCACAAGAGCCTGGCCTTCCACCGACCACCTTACCTACTACAGCAACATGACAGCCAGGACGCCAGTGCTGAGCAGAGGTGGGTGCCTCCTACACCATGCCACTCGGGAGGGAGGGCCAGCAGGTGGATGGCACTTACCCCAGTTCCTCCCCATCCAGTGACCACGATGATGAGGTGGCCAGCCTTGCCTCTGCTGCAGGGGGCTTTGGCAGCAAAGTGCCCACTCCCCGGCTACCTGCAAAGGACTGGAAGTCCAAGGGATCCCCTCGTACCTCACCCAAGATGAAGAGGAAGGGCAAGAAGGATGATGGGTAGGAAGGAGGCCTAGGGCCAGGGGGAGGGGTAGCCCCCAGGTTGCCTGCCTGGTGTGGTCTGAGGTGCTTCTTGCCTAACGCAGGGATTCAGCTGTGGCATCCCGGCTCATGGAGCACCAGGTAAGAGCATAAATACCTTTCTACTTCTAGGATTCTGCCGTATGAGAGTGGGGAAAGATTTGGGGTCTTTCCCTGGTTTGGTGTGGGGGTGGGTGGGGCAGGCATCATTGGACGGTGCTACTCACAGATGGCAGAGCCCCCTGAGGACTGGCCAGCACTAATTTGGCAACAGCAGAGAGAGCTGGCAGAGTTGCGGCACAGCCAAGAAGAGCTGCTGCAGCGTCTGTGCACCCAGCTTGAAGGGCTGCAGAGCACCGTCACAGGCCATGTAGAACGTGCCCTAGAATCACGGCATGAGCAAGAGCGTATCCTTGGAGGTGGTGTCACAGCGTGGCATAGGGTGGGGGCAGTGGCAACTGCAGCATTCTTGGGTGGGGAAAGGGAATGGGAATGGGCTCTAGGTCAGTTCCTTAGCCATAGTGCAGAGCGGCGGCTGGAGCGGGCACTGGCTGAGGGGCAGCAGCGGGGTGGACAGCTGCAGGAGCAGCTGACACAGCAGCTGTCCCAGGCACTATCTTCAGCTGTGGCTGGGCGCTTGGAGCGTAGCATACGGGATGAAATCAAGAAGACCGTGCCTCCCTGTGAGTTTTGCATGGAGATATACGTGGGCCAGGCGGGAGTGGGTCCCTACCCGAAAAGCTCCCTCTCATGGCTCTTCCTCTCCCTCCTCATCCTGCCCCAGCTGTCTCTAGGAGTCTGGAGCCTGTGGCAGGCCAACTGAGTAGTTCAGTGGCCACCAAACTCACAGCTGTGGAGGGCAGCATGAAAGAAAATATCTCCAAGCTGCTCAAGTCCAAGGTGCTTGGGGCCTAAGATAGGGGCGGTTGCTGGGCAGGATCAGGCCAGCTTGGGCTAATGCTTTCAACTCCTCTTTGCCCAGAATCTGACAGATGCCATCGCCCGAGCAGCAGCAGACACGTTACAGGGGCCAATGCAGGCTGCCTACCGTGAAGCCTTCCAGAGTGTGGTGCTGCCAGCCTTTGAGAAGAGCTGTCAGGCCATGTTCCAGCAGATCAATGATAGCTTCCGACTGGGCACACAAGAGTGTGAGTGAAGTCTTATGTCCCAGGTTGAGCGGGACTATGCCTGTCCCCAACATCCCTCTCAGCCCCCGTGTCACCTCTCAGACTTGCAGCAGCTAGAGAGCCACATGAAGAGCCGAAAGGCACGGGAGCAGGAGGCGAGGGAGCCTGTGCTAGCCCAGCTGCGAGGCCTGGTCAGCACACTGCAGGGTGCCACGGAACAGATGGCAGCCACTGTGTCCAGCAGTGTTCGGGCTGAGGTGCAGCATCAGCTGCATGTGGCTGTGGGCAGGTGTGTGGGTCAGGCACTGGTTAGGGTGGTGGGTTTGGAAAGGGCCAGATCCAACTCCCTGTCTGCCTCATCTCTCCTCCCTTTGCAGCCTGCAGGAGTCGATTTTAGCACAGGTACAACGCATTGTTAAGGGTGAGGTGAGTGTGGCACTCAAGGAGCAGCAGGCTGCCGTCACTTCTAGCATCATGCAGGCCATGCGCTCAGCAGCTGGCACACCTGTCCCAGCCACCCACCTCGACTGCCAGGCCCAGCAAGCCCATATCCTACAGCTGCTGCAGCAGGGCCACCTCAATCAGGCCTTCCAGCAGGTATGCCAGACATTAGGTGCAGTTAGGGGCAGGTGTCTCCTGACAAGGCCCATACTCTACATTTAGGTGCCAGATAGTCTGGCCCCAGCCTGCTGTTCTTGATTCTCCTTTGCTCTAAGCCGTTTCTCTTGCCTTACCCTCTTCCTGGACCCTTCAGTCCACCTTGTTTCCTGACCATTCTCCACAAAAAACCTTTTCTGACTCATTAGAGTAACACAGCCCTACAATGCTGTCTCTGAGCCCCTGAGCACCGCTGCTCTGGAGCCCTCACTGTCTGCCTCTGTGGTTATCTCCCAGGCTCTGACAGCTGCTGACCTGAACCTGGTGCTGTATGTGTGTGAAACTGTGGACCCTGGCCAGGTTTTTGGGCAGCCACCTTGCCCACTCTCCCAGCCTGTGCTCCTTTCCCTCATCCAGCAACTAGCCTCTGACCTTGGCACTCGAACTGAACTCAAGCTCAGGTGAGTGGGTACAATTAGGGACCAGGAAACAGGCTGGGGTGAAGGTGGGAGAGCATTTCAAAACAGATACTCCTACCTGACACCTCCCTCCCATTTTCTTCACCAGTCCCTTCTGCCCTCCCACCAGTCCCTTCTCCCATCTCAGGAGACCGCCCTCTGGACCTCAATTGCCACCAGGGGGCGCTCCCATCTGTTGTCACCTGTCTGTAACCCTTCCCTTTCCTCCACCTCCAGCTATTTGGAAGAAGCAGTGATGCACCTGGACCACAGTGACCCCATTACTCGGGACCACATGGGCTCCGTCATGGCCCAAGTACGCCAGAAACTCTTTCAGTTCATGCAGGCTGAACCACACAACTCCCTTGGCAAAGCAGCCCGGCGTCTTAGCCTCATGCTACATGGCCTTGCAACACCCAGCCTCCCTTAGCTAGCCTGCCTTACCTAGGAGTGAGGTGGCAATGGAGGCCAGCAGACAGGCCTAGGCTGTGGGTCATGCCTGTCCCTTCACCTGCTCAGGCTCACACCTGTGGCGTGCTGGGGGCGGGGCGCAAGGTTGTGGTAGCCAGCTGGTTTAGGTTGGGCTCAGGGTGGGTATTGTGCCTTCTTGGGTTCTGTTACGCCTGGATCATGACCCCTCCCCCACAATCCCCCGATCGTGAAGCCACTGAGTTGAATTTTCCATGTTCCTTTTTACCTCTGATTTGGATCTTTTTGTTTATGAAAAACATTGAGAAATTCAATTAAATGCTTTTGGAATAAAATGGAGTATATGTGTGCTTTTGGTGTGGTAACTGCCCTCTGTTCTTTGCCCCCTCTGTTCTCTGTGAAATTCTGTCTAGGCTAACCCATCCCACGGGCCTGGACTCCCACCCTCGTTTGCACAACTGCCTTCCCAGATAGCCCCATCTTCGTTTTGGGGCTAAGACCCTGTGTTCAGCTCAGCACCAACCTTTGCGCAGGACTTCACTTCCCTTTGGGGTCCCTTCGCTACCTACTTACTTCCCTTTCGAGTCCCTTTCTACTCCCGTGCCTTTGCCAAACTGAGTAAGGGGGTGGAGCTACTAGCTGGCTTTGGGGCCACGCCCCTCCCTCCCATCCAATCACAGCCCCTCCTTTTGGGGGCTGGGCTGAAGGGCTGCGCTCTAGCCGTTAGCTGTGGCACAAGCCTCGCAGCCGGGAATGATGCGCTGCTGCTGCTGCTGCTGCTGCTACTGTAGTCGCCACCGCTGGCGAGCACTCCGCGCGCTGGGGCTGTTGCTGCTGCTGCTGCCATTTGGTGAGTCCAGGGCTGTTGAACCCAGCCAAAATGGCACAGCCTCTGATCCTGCTGAGCATGGGGTGTGTGTGGGGATACAGCTTTACTGCATGCTAGCAGCCTGTGTGGACAGGAGGTGCAAGTGTTCCAGGAAGAGAATAAAGTGCCAGGATGAAAAGTGAGGGACATGAGCTGAGCCCTGGTTGTGGGAGAAAGATGCTAAAGTTCTGCAGTTCCCACTCTAGTACAGGAAGGACAAAGTTCTGGTGGAACTCTGGGGGCTGCTGTGGAATCCCAGAGATTTTCTGTTAGGTTCCATCATGAATCCGACTCCTATTCTGCGCTACCTATCTGAAAATACTTGTCTTTGGAAGGTGCTAGGGCTAAGCAAAGCTTATCTAAGCTACAAAGAGAGACTGGGTAGAGAAGAGAAGATCCCAAATCCTGGCCCCCTTCATCTTCACCGAATTCCGACTCCTTTTCCACCCTCCGCCATCCTCATCCACATCAGAGGCAGAGCAGGTCCCGGGGATAGTATTTCCATCCCTGTAGTATTTATCTGGGGACCCCCATAAAAGCAAAGCGACAGCAGGTGATCCCTAGATATGCCCTTTAGTTCCCTGGGGGGGGCCCTTTCAGCTGAGTCACGTCCCAGAGCACACCTGGGTAAACAAGCCCCAGGGGTTTGGGGGATGGAAGCTCATCCTGTCAACTCTTCTCCACCCCCACTACCAGTCCTTGTATCTCCCCTGGCAGCAGCCACAACGGGCCCAGGCCGCTGTGACAACATATACCAGGGCTTTGCTGCGTGTCTCATCCGCTTGGGAGACGACATGGGCCACGGCGGAGAGTTGGAAACTGTCTGCAGGTACCCACGGCTGCGGGCAGGTGTGAGGGCAGCCTGACCTCCTGCCACCCTGGAGGACTGAACCTCTTCCTTTCTATTCCAAAGCCTCTCTGCCCACTTAATTTCCCTAAACTCATGCCTTTCACAGGTCTTGGAATGACTTTCATGCCTGTGCTTCACGAGTCCTGTTGGGCTGTCCAGAGGAGGCAGCCACCGTGTGGGAGTCACTACAGCAAGAAGCTCGCCGGGCCCCGCACCCTGATAATTTGCATGCTCTGTGTGGAGCTCCTGTGCATGTTCGTGAGCGTGGTGCAAGCCCCGAGACCAACCAGGAGACTCTTCGGGCAACAGCACCAGCAACTACCCCAGTCCCCGCACCCATGCTGCTGGCAGCCGCTCTGGCGCTTGCCTGCCTCCTGGGGCCTCTGGCCTAGCCACCCCAGAGGGTCAGGAAGCAGCTCCCCTGCCTGCAGCTTGCTCTCGCTCTGGTGGCTGCCTTCTAGGCTCAGCTTTCATTAAAGGTATTTATATTTGTACAAAGCTCCTTCCTTTCTTCCGGCTGCAGGGGTTAGCAGGGTCTGAGGTTTCCAGAGCTGTTTCCCTGGACAGGATGGGCAGAATCCCAAGGCCCTCACCTGGGACTCAGTTTTTCTTCTTACAAACACTCATTCTCCAGGGGCTACACAGAGCTTTCCATTGCGTCCAGGTTCTAGTAGCTCTGGTGGGACCTGAGAGCTGCTGGAATGCATAGGCTTTCTTTGTCCTGGGCTGAAACTCCTAGTCCTGCTTGGCCCTCTAATCCTGGTCCCCAGGGGCTTTGTGAGGTAATGGACACCCTCTCCTCCCCCATCTTACTTCCTTCGCCTGCTGAATTACTACCTAAGCCTTCAAGACACAGCTCAGGGCCCTCCCTAGTGGTGCAAAAGGTTAAAGTGCAGCACTATGAAGTTATAGCAGCCACTGCAGCAGTTCTATACCCAGTCGGGAAGCTGACCCACATGGTGCTGCAGACCTTGCCTGTCTCTCCCACTGCTCCCCTCAGCAGTGTATTTCAGTTAATCTGCCTGTTCTGCTCAAGGTTCCAAAAGGAACAAAAGGTCCCTTTGTTCTCCAAACTTTGCTTTAAAAAAAAAAAAAAGAATGATTTATTTATGACTGCAAGAACTGGAGTACAGGCCAGAGGTGTGGAGGGTGAGAGGATTCCCCTGAGACAGAGTGGGGAACAGAACAATTTGATTGACTAAAACACACTGCTGAGGGGAGCAGTGAGCAGGACAGGAGAGATCTGCTGAACCATGTGGGTCACTGCCCTGGCTGAGGATCGAGCTGCAGATAGCTTCATGGTGCTGCAACTTAAGCCCTTGAGCCACTAGGGAGGCCCCCAAAAGTTTGCTTTTTAAGAAGAGATGTGAAGGCAAAATAATCCAAGAAGGTTCTCTGGAAGCATATGATGGGTGTGTGACATGTGAGGCAACTCATTCTGGTGGAGAGAGAAAGAGCAAGAATATGCATGGGCACAGTCCTGAGGGAAGGAGGAAACTACAGAGAGAGTGAGCTTCTTGATCCTTCCACCACCACACCACCAGGACCCCATAACCCACGACTTGTGTGGGCACTGCCATGGCTTCCTTGTGACTTCTGCTTTCACTCCCTCTATTTTATTCTCCATTTTCTGAATTGCAAAACTGTTCTAATTGTCAACAAGGCTCTACACAAGCCCACAATTTATACAGTTCATGCCTGCAACACAGAGGAGTGATTTAGCTACCCCGCCCTCGAGTCCAGTAAAGCTTCAGCGAGGAGCAGTCCAGCACTCATATAAAGGGTGACAGGATGCAAGACTTACAAGTGCTGGAGAGGGGGTGGACTGACTTGGAGAGAGGCCCAGATGAACCAGCCAGGAGGCAGTGAAAGGTGGGCGAGTCCAGAGTTACACAGGCCAGCTTTACACTAAAGTAAAGATGGGTGAATGAAGTCTGATAGGACGCTCATTTAAACTTCAGGTGGCAGGTGCCTCCAGAGGCCTCTGCATACGTGTTGGCACCCTATTTCATCCATGCTTTCCCAAACCCTCCCATTCTGGCTAGCTCAGATGCCACAGATAACCCCCTCACTGCCCTGACTCTGTCTTTGTTCCTGTACTTCACTCTCCTGCGATTCTATCCTTGCTTTTCTATCCCCACCAGTCATTACCCATCTTTTCACATCACCTGAAAAAGAACTTAGGGAACCCCTGTAGCCCAGATCTGTTTTTTATTTTGACCACCAGAATTATTCAGAAGAAAAAGCAAGCCTGGTTTTCCTCTGAGTCTTTGTGACATCTATTCTCTGTGCTCGGAATACCTTTCCCTATTTCTTTCTTGTGAACTCCTACTTCTCCTTCACTATCACCTCCTACAGGAAATATTCCCTAACTCTGACTCCAAGCTGAATCAGAAGACTCCTACGGGACCACACAACATCTAGGCTCTTTTCTTTCTCAGTACTAACAGCACCTGCTGGTTACTGTCTGAGTTTAGATCAGAATTCCCCACCATAAACTATCCAAGGATGTTATTTGTGTGTCTGGTACCCATCATAGGGCTGGGAAGAGAGAGCACTTGTAAGAGTGTGTGGAATGAAAGAATCAATCTTAAGTCCAGCATAGGAAGTCTTAACAGTTAGCAAGAGCTTGGACTCACGATCATCTCACTGTGGAGAAGGGGTCATCTTGGGGTGGTCCCCTCAAATGTGGTACACTAGTGGGAGGGCTAGTGCTGGGACTGTAGACCCTCAAAGTCTTCCTAGAGTCACTTTGCCTGGGCAGCCAGGAGTACCCTGCTTCCAGAATCAAGGGCCTAGTGACTCTGACCAGCTATCAGAGGGATTACTATTCTTCTGTGACCTACTTTCCCCTGATTTTGCTCTGTAAGTCCCTGGAATTGAGTGACTTGGGAGGTGGGTATGGGGACAGATTCTCTCTTTGACCAAGGGTTTAAAAGCTTAATGTTTTTTATCCCCAATCTGGAGGAAAGGGGTGGGATGACAGCCAAGTTGACAGGGCTCTGGACACGCTGCCTAGGCCAGAGCCTTGTGGTAATGGTGTTTCTCACATTTGCAGCTCTATGGATATGCAATAGCTTATTGTTCTGGGAGCCTGGGGGTTGGTGGTTCTGAACCCAGTTCCTTCTGTGTGGACCTTTTTTTTCTACTTTGGGCCTCATGTTCTTCACCAGATTTCAGATCAGCATCTGCTCATAGCGATAAATATTTGTTGAATTAGGCCCTCCCTGGTGGCGCAATGGGTTAAGGCACAGCACTATGAAGCACTGCATCACGAATTCAATCCCCAGCCAGGGAGCTGACCCACATGGCCTGGCAGACCTCTCCTGTTCTGCCTGCTGCTCCCCTCAGCAGTGTATCTTAGTGGATCTGCCTGTTCTGCTTCCCACTCTGTCTCTGGTGACATCTCTTATCCCCTACACCTCTGGCCTATACCCCAGTTCTATATATATAAATAAAGAAATCTTTTAAAAAAATTGTTGAATTAATTTGCTGTATGTCAGTGTGGATTTGTAAGTCTCATTAACTGGAATCTGCATTACTTTTAAGCCTGACAATTCTGTGGGGCCAGGATAATGATCTACATTACACATGAGAAAAATGAAGCTGAAGGGAGGTGTTTCACAGCGAAGGTCACACAGCTGTGGAAATGTCAGAACTGAGATGATCAGTTGTTTTTGGCAGCAGAATCCATGCCCTTAATCATCATATTATACTTTTGGAGCAATTTTAACAGTTTAACGCTATTAAAGAAAACAGGCAAAATATTGTATTGGTGTCCATTTAGTTACAAGTTACAAAGTGTAACACAAACATAACCAGTCAATTAAAGACAGTCTCACATATACAAAGTGCTCAGTAAAAATTTACTAAAAAAAAATTAAGAGATGGAAATGAGGAAGGTGCGTGAGGTTACAATCCTATTATCTGCAGCATCTATCCCCTCTAAAATCTGGGTTTACTGTAAAGTGTGAGACGATTCTGATGCTATGGGCCAGACTATGTTTAACCAATTCTCTGTCGATGGTAACTTTAAAAAAAATCTACTTGATCTGTAGTCTCTGGATATACTTAAAGTCAACAGCAACAAAAAAGCAAACCTCTGCTACTTCGAAGTTGGTCCGAGACTGATTTCACCAGTCCTCAAGTTAACCATTTGTAACTCTGCTGTGAGGCCAAATCCAACACATCTGAATGCCTGAATTACTTGAATTGCATTTACAAAGTCAGGTGTTAGTACAATTTAAATCAGTTCTTTGCGTAATTCCAGAGGCGCTCCCAGGACCCTCCGTTGAAACGCAAATACAGCCCCAGACTCTCACGAATGATCGCTCTCTTCCCTAAACAGAAACTTGAAACTTTCTCCCCACTTCCCGCGGGTCCTCCTTTTGCTAACACCGGTCACTGCCCAACCTTGGAGCTACAGGCAGACCCACCCCTGCGGCGAGCCGGGGCCCGCCCCGAAGGCGTTGATTGGCAGCTACTCTCGGAGCGCCGCCAATCCTGTAGCCCGGCGCTTCCGAGAGCCCGCCCACGCCCCGCCTCTTGGGCGGCCCTGGTTTGTTTTGGCGTCCAGCGCGCGCTGTGATGACGCCAAGACGCTAACGCCTGAGGATGGCGGCGGCGGCGGTGGCGGCCGTGGCCGCGGCCCGGAGAGGGTCTGCACAGCCGCGGAGATGCCGAAGAGCCCGCCGCCCGCGCGAGGTGAGGCGGCTCGGCACAGGGCGACTGCCCGATGGGCGGGAGGGGCTGACGAGCTGAGGCCACGGTCGCTTCTCGGCGCACCGGGCCTGTCCCTGCCCAGCTCGAAGCTCTCGGCCCGTGCCCGGTGCGCCGGGGCCTAAGGGGCAGGGGAGCAGGCCGGGCGACGACTGCCCGGGATCCCCTGTACCGGAGGTTGAACTGGCCCCGAAACGTGCTGCTTCCCTGGGTCGTTCATCTCTGGGCCGCATGGGCCTGCTAGACGTGGTCAGCTACCCAGCTTGCTGTTCCAGCCGACATCTGCCAGGGTCGATTAACCTGGTTGTCCTCACTTCTGTGTGGCCCTCCACTGAGACTGGCTGTCAGGGACTGGCGAGCAGTGGTTACTTCCTTGTCCAATCTGGGGGAAAACCAGGCTAGGGTACAATCGGCTCACACGCTATCTATATGGAGTCAGCCCTCAGCTTGTCAGGGGGAGCTGATCGTCCACGGTCAACCCACTTCATGAAGTCGCAGAAATGATAATTCCCACCTGGAAAGCTGAACAAATCACTCATTACCTAAAAACTGGCTCCTCGGTGCTTTCAGGTTAAAGGGCAAGGTTTTCTGAGCAAGGTGTTTAGGGATCTTCCTAATCTCATAGAGGCCTAACTCTGAAATCAACACCTGCGTTCTGTCTTTTCTTTATAGCTGTTGTTAGGGCTAAAGAACCTCCTTTTACCTCTTGTGGTTTAATAGCCATGTGCTGTAAATATGAAATGTTCTCGTTTTATAATACTCTTCCTTCCCTTACTTCCACCAATTGGGAAATTTACACATACCCTTTAAAATCCAATTCATATTTCATATTTAATTTCCTTGGAAAAAGCTCTGACTTTACATGTCGTGATAGATATTTTGATGTTTAGCCATGATGGTGCTGTTGAGTAGATCATACTGGGTTACAGGGTGGGTGTGGAGATTGTGAACTTGTGTCTGCATCTGAGTGCCTGGCTCTGTGCCTGACATGAAGTGAGTAGACCAAGATGGGTTTAGGAATGGCTACAGTTTCAGCTGTATTACTGAGCTGCCTCCAGGGGCATCATCTGAGATGAGTGCATCAAACATCCTGTGTATACACATGCACCCTATATACACGTGTTAGGTGGCTTCCAAAATCTCCTTTCTATAGTTTCTCAGTGTCACTCACTGATATTTGTATTCAGAAGATCAGGCATCTGTATTTTGAAGAAAACTTTCCAAGTAACTTTATTGTGCTTCCTGGTTGAAGATTTTTGTCATTGCCCGAGGAATCTGTTGTGTGTTTTTTGTTCAGTGGGAAGCTGTTCCAGTCTTTGTACATATTTTGAGAGGCAATAATGTTTAGTAGAAGCATGGACTGTGGAGTCAGAAAGTCTTAGTTCAGTTCTTGTCTTTTTATGAGGGTTTGAGGCTCTTCCAAAGTAGGAATAATCATGCCTGTTTTATGTGTAAAGAGGAGTGAGATAAATACATTTATGGTGCTTAGCACTGTTGAAACCACTGTTACTGCTAGTGACTTCTTCCTAGAGTATATCCCTTGTAAAAAGGAGATCTCATCTTAGTCTATTTGCTACTTAGACTGAGCCTCGTATAGAAGTAGCTTAGTGTTCTGTGATTTCTTCAAGGTCATTTCTGGTCATCAGGGGAAGCACTGACAAAACTGTTTCTACTCAGGGCAGTTGCATTTGGCCATTCCTCTAGAAGAGATTTGGAATGCTGACTCCCAAGAGAGTGGGTTTGCTGAATAAGCACATTGTCTGGGTCTAATTGCAGTTTTTCTGCTTGTTAAGTTGTATAAATTAGATAACAGAACTGCAGCTTTCAGGAAACCTGTTTGCCTCTGACACTGAGCTAGCATTGGGTCTCACCTGGGATGGAATACCACTGTGGATCTTAATGTTGATGGAATCTGAAATCAATGCTGGTGTTCTCTATTAGCCACCAGTTTGTAGTTAAGTGTGTGAGATTTTGCTTGGCCTTCTGTTTTACTTTGTAGGTGTGAGCAAGTTATATGGGCAACTTAGATCCTCTTCAGAGTGTGTCCCAACTGAATGGCACAAGTGGGCTCTAAGTGTGCCAAGATATGAACCGTCAAATGTCAAGATCCCTGAGAGCAGCTGTTTCTATTGACCCCAGGGTGCATGAAGAAAAATTGAAGTACAGCCTTGGAAGAAGGGAAACAATTCTGCTTGTTGAAAGCTGGAGAGCAGCTTATTTATTTGAACTCCCTTTCCTTCCAAGAATCTTACTCAGTATTAAACAGATTTGTGTTGGCTAGGTCATCACTGAGCTAATTCTTGGTACAGCCCTCTGTTGCTATGGTGTCTGATGTGATGCTAAAGTAGAAAAATGTGGTGTTTTCATTTTCTGAGGGAAAATTATCTCAGTGGGACCCTTTTAGGCTGCCAGCCTTGAAGTGGAATCTCAGGGCATCATAAGAGTTATGGATCAAGGGACTCTTGATATGGAACCATCTGGATTGTAAGTTCTTTGAGAGCAGAGGCTATGGCTGCCTTCTTTTTATCTGTAACAACCCTGGCAGAGTTCCTGGCTCACAACAGGAGCTCAGTAAATATTTGTGAGTTGAACTTTGGGATTTTGGAAGGAGATCCCTGGGTTTATTGCCAGAGTTTGTATTCCTGATGGTGGGATGGACAGTGGGGAGGAGTATTAGGTGGGGTTGGGGCACAATAAAATAAAGACATAGCCAACCTTGGAACCCTTTTCCCCTCTCTCAGCTCTAGGACAGGAGTGTCTACCCATGTAGAGCAGTGGGGCCTAGCTGCAATCCTTGAGAAGTGGGGCCCTATTTTCTAAAAGGAAGTCACAGTAATTTTTATTACAATAATATTAAATGTCAAAGCATTATAGGCATGAATCATGCACAATATCTTTAGGCAGACTCTGTAATAATTTTGTATATATTCCTCTAGCTTTTTTCCCCTTGTGCTGGTATACATTGCTATAACACATATTTCTTTTATCTTAAAAATTATAGTCCCTCCCTGGTGGCACAGTGGGTTAAAGCTCAGCAGTGCAAGCTAGCCGCAGCTGCTTCAGTGCGAGTTTGATCCCCTGCCCCAGAGGTGATCCACATGGCACGGCAGACCTCTCCTATCTCATCCGCTGCTCCCCTCAGCAGTGTACTTCATCAGTCTGCCTGGTCTGCTGCCCACTCTGTCTGTGGTGAATCCTCTCACCACTTTTGCACCTCTGGCCTATACCCCAGTTCTGTATGCATAAATAAATTTTAAAAAATATTTAAAAAATTACATATAGTGAAGATTTTTTTTTTAGTACCCTCTTTTCTTTTTTAAAAGATTTATTTATTTATGCATACAGAACTGGGGTACAGGCCAGAGGTTCAGGGACATTGAGAGGGTTCACCCAAGACAGTGGGAAGCAGAACAGGAGGACTGACAAAATACACTGCTGAGGGGAGCAGCTGGCATGTCAGGAGAGGCCTGCCATGCCATGTGGTCACCTCCAGGACTGGGGATCGGACTCATGCTGAAGTGGCTTTAGCTTCTTAGTGCTGTGCTTTAACCCGCTGTGCCACCAGGGAGGGCTCCAGTACCTTCTTTTCTTTTAAAGATTTAGTTCAGTCCCGGCCTTGGAGGTGATCCACATAGCATGGCAGGCCTCTCCTGACCCACCCGCTGCTCCCCTCAGCAGTGTACTTCATCAGTCAGCCTGTTCTGCTCCCCACTCTGACTCCGGTGAATCCTCTCATCCCCTGCGCCTCTGGCCTGTATCCCAGTACTGTATGCATAAATAAATAAATCTTTTTTTTTTTTTTAAAGAAATGCTATTTGACAGGTATTTATTTCTATGGCTACTAAAAGTTTATTGCTTACTTAACTGAGATAGGCTTGTAAAATGTGGGAGACTACAGAGATCTCTGCAGGAGGAAGATTGTTGAGATGTATGGTGGAGATCAACCTTAGAGGAGAAGGCAGGTACTTGTGGATCCCTGCCTGGATCAGATCCACAGACCCCACTTCTTTAGTCAAGACATTATTTCAGGATCCATCTTTGCCCCTGGCTTCCCCTCAGATGGGGTCAAGTCTGACAGTTTGTGGACAGACATGCTTTGGAGTTCAGATAACAATCTGTGAGACCCAAAATGACCCGAGGGCTCCAGCTTCCTTTGTTGTTGGCAATATTTGCACAGGCTCAGGCCCCCAAAGAGCATGAGTCTGGCTTAATCACCTGTCTGGCTTCTCCCTGCCACTTGAAATTTTCTTGCCTTGCAGCAAGTAGAAATCTGAGAGCCAGACCCCCTTTCATTTATTATTAACAAACATTGAATGCCTGCTCTGAGCTCAGCACTTTGTTGGATGCCAGAGAGTTCTAGAAATCTGAGAAGTGGCCCTTTTCCTCAAGGGACTGACAACTTGAGTGATCAAAATTAATCTAAAAAAAATTTAATGTGGAGCACAGTCTAAGCAGCATGACCCAAACTACTTGAAATGCAGGTTTAGAAATACATGCCTTTCAGAAAAGGTCCTTAGTAGGTTCGTTGATTCCTCAGCTGAGTGGTATGAGGAAGGATGGAGATGTTGACCTAGTGAGACAGCAGTGCTGGGCTTCATGCCCTTCTGGAGTCTTTCCCACGTGGTAGAAGTTCTGCACAAAGAGCCAGGACCTATTCTTTGCCCCCACTGTCTGAGTGATTTGCACTAGTTTCTTCCCTTCTTGGTCTGTCATTTCTGTAGTTTTAGTTAGGATAGTAATGCCCCCTGCTCACATCCACTCTAACATACCTGGCTGCCTTGAGGAGTGCTGGAGTTGAGGCTCTGGAGGTGGATTTGAGCGAGGTCAGTATTTTCTGCAAGATGTGTTGGGATTGGGGCTCTGTGCAAGGGAACAGTGATTTGTGACAGCTGTAGAGCATGGCCCTCCTGGGAAGTCTCTTTGTGAGGTTTTCCTTATGCAGCCTTACCCACCAGCACCCTCACCCAGTCCCCATGCTGGGGTCACAGGAGAACTGGGGGCAAGAAACCACTCTGCCCTTTTTTCCAGAAGTTTTGTAAGCCCCCTGTCTCCTATCCCTAGGTCTGCCTTTTCACCTGACCAATGTGGATAATGAATTTAACAGCTGTGATTGCCGCCTGAAAGCTAGTAGCCATCCCCACCCCCCCACTGCCCCGCTGGCCCGCTCTCCTCCCCTCTCCTCTTGGTTTACAGGTGGGGCACTTGCAGCACTTGTCTTTGAAGAGTTTATAATCGGAACAACTGGGCAAGAAACTATATCCCAAGAAGGAAATGAGAAGGTCAGAGAGGGCTGTTTCTTGGCTCTTACTGCTGACTTGAGATCCCTGTGCAGACTTTATTTATAGTTGAAAAGTCAGGTTTTTTCCTTTTATAAATCTTGGTTTTTCTCATCAGGACCAGACTAGGGATGCACATTTAAACAAAGACTCATTTTTGTGGATCTAGGGTTCCACCGCGAACCAGGAAGAAGTGACACCTGAGCCGGTGCTAGGTCACCACTCAAGTCTGTCTTCTCTCTACATGGCGGCAGGTGCGGCCCACCACGTGGTCTTGAGGACCGGGGTCCTGTGTTCTACTTCAAGAATCCTTTTTCTGATCTGCAGCCCTTTCTTTTGTCTATTCTGAAGGAAGAGATGAGTGCACAGAACCAAAGTTCATAGCTCTAATCATCTTTGGCCTCTGTGAAAAGGAATCTTGTTTCTTGTTATATATATGTATATGTATTTTTCTATGTCGTCATTTGTTTTTGTACTTATGATTTCTCCTCTCAGGTGTCCTCCCCACAGAAATCCAACCACCGAGTCACCTCTGACCCATCACCATAGGCTCTTCCCTCCTGCTCTACCCCTACCTCTTCCCCCTCCCTTGCTGAATGTATCAGATTGATCTCTTACCTGCTGGTTTTGTTCTTGTTTTGATTTTTTCTGATTCCTTGCTTGAGGAACTTTGTTTCTAAATGCCTTTTTTTTTTTTTTTTTTAACACTATTTCCCTAGCTGCTGTGATGCAGTTGGGTGAGGAATGCAGCAAATCTGAAGAGCCTTATATTGATGGTGGAATCTGCTTCTCATGAGGAAAGATAAACTTCATTCTGCTGAGTGTCATATTGACATACTGATTAATACCTGAGTCTTTAACCTATGGTGTCCAAATTCCTCCTTTCTATCTGATGTGTTGGTAATCAAGGTCTTAAGTATGTTTTGCTTATAAGCTTCTTTCTTGAAAAAAAAAAAAAGGCCATATTGATTATACTCAGGCCTTCAACTCACTGGGATCTAATAGGCTGTGTGATTCTCTGTAACTCCCTAATCTGCCTAGGTCTCCCTCTGCTGCCTTTGATGGACTCATTTGCTGACTTCAGAAAGGGGTGGGTAGGGTGTAGGTCTTGCCTCTTGGCCCCAAGTACCACTATGGGGCAGCCATGGAATCTGTGACCCTGACTAGCAATTTTCAGACATTAAATTCTATATCCAGTGAGACTAGTGACCTGCCGCAAATATCACATGGACATTCCACACGTACTGTGACACATCCCAAACTGAATTCTTCATGCTGCTTCCTAAACTGTTCTGTTGTGCTCCTGATCCTTCTGCTCAGGAAGCTAGGCAAGGGACTGGAGGCCTCCCTCACTCCTCCTTGTCACCTCTTGTATCTAGCCTCCATCTTGTCCTCCTGCTGATAATCTTTCCATCCTACACTCCTGGGTGGGCCGCCACCCTCCTTACTGATCCTGTTAGTCCCCTTTGATGCTTCTCTATTTCAGCCTCACTTTTCTTTCTAAACAGGTCAATGACCTCACTTTTTTTTTT